TATATGTTTTATTTTATCTTCTATTTTGGAACCATGTGTGCTTGCATGAGTAAAGCATGTTTCTCCTGAATGTGTAAGCAACTGTTCTTATTTAAGAATGGGATTGTCACATGTCTCCATAAAGGTTTGTAATTATGTCATTGGGATAAGCCTGCACTGATTTCTTGGGTGCCTTCATGCATCATTCATCAGTTATAGGCCCCATTGTTTAAGCAGAAAAATCTATTAGTCAGAACATCATATACTTTCATCTTTTTTTATGCAAGAATCAGGTGTGTCAATGATGGTGCACTATGGAGTTAGTTACATGTAACTGGTCTCGGGCACATAATACTTCTGGAGCACTGTGGCATTGATTGATTCCTTTCCCATGCTCGGCAATGGTGAACTGCTTGATGAGCAGCATTTGGTAGTATTTGTTGTGTTCTCAAACTCTTTCCTTAAATTATGCACAGAGATCTGTGCGTATTTTAAATTTGCTTCAGAATCTTGGAGAACCTGACTTGTGATGAAAGTGTTGCAATATGTCATCTCACATTACCAACATAAGTGCATTACTGCTTAATGTGATCAAACTATGGAATGTTGTGATATCTGTAAGAGCTTCCAATAAAAGAAGTAATAATAATAATAACAAAAAAGCTAATGAATGAAAAAAGCAAAAAAGAGGTACAGTCTTGAAAACTCACAGGGGCAGTTCTTGCCTGTCTTATAGGGTGCTATGAGTCTGTGTGGAGGAAAAGCCAGCTCCCCACAACAATCATGGGTTCAGTAAGATTATAGTAAAGTCATAGAGAGCATGAGAGATAGAAGAGAAATTGATCAGACCCTGCAGCTGCAGCACCAGAAGGCCTTCCTTCCCCTTATCAGTACATGCGTCCTTGGCTCAAGTCCTATATATGTCCCACTGCCTCACTGCCAGGCACGATTTCCCTGACCTAACTCGTTGGGTCTCAGAACCCACCCGGGGACTCAAGATGCCCCGGTCCTTCTCTGCTCTCCCTTCCCTCCCAGGAGTTCTTACCTTGCCTCAATAAAGCCTTTCTCAACTTCAAAAAAAAAAAAAAAAAGAAGAAGAGAAATTGAAATAATGGAGTCAGACACATCTCAGGGTAGCATGCTCACCTCAGCTTCTCTTGGTGATACAGCGCCGGAGCGAGCTGGAGAGAGAGCGTGAGCTGGGGCGAACTTTATTGCTAACCAAGGCTTATATCTACTTAGGGGGGTGTGATTACAGGTAACCACACGTCAGAGGAAGGGGCTATACAATAGGCAATACAAGCAATAGGAGGGGGATATACCATAGGCATAAGCGTAACAGGAAGGGGATGAGCTAGGGTTGTACATGTGACAAGAAGGGCGGACCCTAGATTCACGATGGAGGCCTAACCTTGGTCACCCTTGAGTGGGCTTGACCTCCCTGGGCTCTCCTTCAGGGAAACAATTTACTACTACTATTCTTTTCAGAAGGGAGTGGGCCCTACTTGTTGTGGGATAAACAATGGTGTCTGCTTGCTCTGGATGGCTGATAACCCTTAGGGAGAATAACCCCTGACCTACTTCTGTTGACTTCCAAGTGTATAGTCATCTGCCACGTGTAGCAAGCAGCTAAGTTTGGGATATATTTGGGGGAGACAACTTGGGAGAAATCTATCTATTTCCCACAAGTCTGCATAGACTTGATGGACATGAGTTTGGTTTGTGTTAACATCTTGTTTTAGACATATACGATGGCTTGCCTTTTACTATGTTAATGTTTTGAGGTGTGGCCTGCTAAAAATGGGTCAAACTCTCTCCCTGCTCTTCACCCCCCAGAAGAATGCACTTCGGAGAACAGCACTGAAGCTACAGCCTAGGGAGAGGGGTACGTCTGATCAGAGCATACAGGAACAAACAAAGGGGAAGGAGAGTGAGTGGAGCACATCCTGGCCCACTAAACCCTGAGGATGATATACTTGCTCAGAGCAAACAATGCACAGAGAGGACAATAGCGCTGGCCCCACCACAACACGAGAAGTCCCTCACTGAACCATAGCGCTGCAGGGGACAACACTGAGACACAGTGCGGGAATTGTGCCTGATCTGACCCCATCACACTGGACGCAACACTAAGGGCATGCAACAGAGCAGCAAGGGGAGCAAAGCAATGAAGACCTCGGGAATATAAAAAATAGACTTTGGGAATAGAGTGTGGCACCCCATCAGACTTGACTGGAAAATACTCCTAAAGGTCAAAATCTTTTTTGTCATTGGCTTTCTTTTTTGTTGTTGTTAGGTTTTTTTGGTGGTTTTGTCTTCCTTTGTTCTTTTGTTTGGCGTGGCCTTGTTTTTGTGCTTATTAATGTCTCTGCATGTCTATCTAGAGAAGATAGGCGGGATAAACAATTTGGGGCAGAAGATAGGACTGACAGTTCTGGGGGGTACATGGGAGACGGGGAGGTAGGAGAAAGGAGTTGGAGGGGCATGGGTCAACCAACCAAGGGACAAGGGAACAACAAGTGAACTAAAATTGATGGAGAGAAGGGCCTAGTGGGGCTTATTCAAGGTTAATGTAACAGCGAGGAGTTACTGAAACCTGAATGAAGGTGGAACATGATAGTGGGACAAGAGGAAAGTAAAAGGAAATAGAGAAAAGGACAGTTATAGAGGTCTAAATCCAGGCATGTATATATGTACCTATATTTATAATGATAGGGAAATAGATCTATGTACTTATATTTATATATAAAGTATTAAAGTAGCAGATGGACATTGGTCCTCTACTCAAGTACTCCCTTAATGTAAGAACAGTTTGTTCTAATAATTCGGCATTCTGTGATGTTCACCTTCCCGACACATTTGCTGAAGACAAAGTGGGTGCATAAGCAAATGTGGTGAAGAAAGCTGATGGTGCCTGGCTATCAAAATATATAGCGTCAGGGGTCTCAAAGGCTTGAAAATAAACAAGTGGCCATCTAGCTGAGAAGCAACAAAGCCCACGTGGTAGAAGCACACCAGCCTATGTGATCCAGAGGTGTTTATGGGATCAGGTATCAGGCATCTAAAACCCAGAACAAAATCATACCAATGTAAATTTGGGGAGCAGGGGTGGGGCAAAGAATGGAGACCCAAAGCCCATCTGTAGACAACTGGACATCCCTTTACAGAAGGGTCACAAGAAAGAGGTGAGCCAGTCAGTATAGCGCCAATGAAGCATACAACTTTTCTCTAGTTCTTTAATGCTTCCTCCCCCTCCTCCCACTATCATGACTCCAATTCTACCTTACAAATCTGACTAGACCAGACATGTACACTGCTACAGATAAGAGCCGGCAACACAGGCAATCCAGGATAGATAAACCTCTCAGGATCAATAATGAGAATAGAGATACCAGGGGGGTAAGGGGAAGGTGGAGGAAGAAAGGGGAAATATAACCCCCTCCCAGGGGCATGAACAACAGAAAAGTGGGTGAAGGGAGACAGTGTCAGATGTAAGATCTGAAATTGATAATTTATCAAGGGTTTGTGAAGGAGGGAAGGTGGGAGAGGGAGGGAGGGAAAAATGAGAAGAGCTCAAGAAGAAAGAAAATGATGATGGCAACACAGGTGCAAATGTGCTTGACACAACGGATGGATGTATGGATTGTGATAAGAGTTGTAAGAGCCCCCAATAAAAGTATTTAATTAAAAAATAGGGTCGAATTGAGCAAGTTCGAGTAAGCCCCCTAGTTATCCATCTTTTTTTCTTTTCTTTCTTTTTTAACATTTTATTAGGGGCTCATACAACTGTTATCCCAATCCATACACACATCAATTGTGTAAAGCGCATTTGTACATCGTTTCTCAAAACATTTTCTCTCCATTTAAACCCCCGACATTAGGTCCTCATTTTTCCCCTCCCTCCCCGCTCCCCCCTCCCGCATGAGCCCTTGATAGTTTATAAATGGGTATTTTGTCATATCTTGCCCCTAGTTATCCATCTTGTGGGAGCCCAAACACTTCATTTCTTCCTCAAAAAGGTAGTCCACATACAGTGATTGCTACGATGACAACAATAAGGTGTTGAAAATGACCTTCCAGTAATGAAGTTCTTCATTAATTTGTGTTTCCAGTTCATAAGGTAAGCAAAAACCATGTCTTTGGCTTATCTCTGACAACACACAATCTCTGTTAATTGAACTATTTTCATGCATGTTTATCAATCGTATTCAAGTTTCACCAATCACTGCTAGTTCCATCTGTAGCAAATTGGGAATGAAATGCGTTGGTGCTGAATAACTTCCAAACAAAGCAAAACACAGAGCCGACGAATGGACAACGCAGTGACCAGAAGTCCTTCTTATACTTTGCACCCTAGAAATAAATTCCAGTTGCAGATTTTTTTCCCTTTGTATTATCATCCAAAAGCTTTCACCATAAAATTTCAAATGTTGCTGCCAGCCACTTGGACCTATTTTGATCCAATTTGCATTATTAGGAAAAAAAATCGTTCACAAAGCAGGATCGCGATTTCTGTTGCTTATGTGGTTTGCGGATTCAGCCATCTCAGATTGTAAAAGAGTCTCACTTTCCAGACCCGTTAATCTTTGTACCAATGCCAGGAATGGCGCAGCATTCAGCATCAACCCTGTTTTAGTCATATAACTGTTAGCATTTCAGCGCTATAGGTTAGTACGATAATTTGCACCAATTAATTCCACACATCTAACGGAAGAAGTCTCTTGATTCATTACATTTTAAAAAGAAAGCTAATTTTGAACCTATGTTTAAGGCACCACAAATCCTTTTCTTTTGATTTTAGGAGCTTTTGCTTTTGCACTCCACTTAGCTGTTGCCATTTAATTTTACCTACACGTAAAATATTGTCTTATTTTAAAACTGGATTTACAATAGCAAATAAACTTGAATAATCAAAGAATTTTAAATGTATAAAACATTTTATCCCCCCACTTCAAATCTACTTCTCAGCTCCTTCTTGAACTTGTGTTGGGTCCCACTGCTGCCTCCCAGTAGCCGTCACCATGTCGTCTGTCAGGGTAACCCAGAACTCCTGCAAGGTGTCCTCTGGTCCCCAGGCCTTCAACAGCTGGTCTTACACCAGTGTGCCCGGCGCCCGCATCAGCTCCTCGGCCTTCTTCTGGGTGGGCAACAGCAGCAGCTTCCGGGTTGCCCTGGGCACCGGCATGGGTATGGTCGGGGGCTTCGGTGGGGCAGGAGGTGTTGGGGGCATCACGGCCATCATGGTGAACCAGAGCCTGCTGAGCCCCCTGAAGTTCGTGGTGGACCCCAACGTGCAGGCCGTGCGCGCACCCAGGAGAAGGAGCAGATCAAGACCCTCAACAACAAGTTTGCCTCCTTCATTGACAAGGTGCAGGTCCTGGAGCAGCAGAACAAGATGCTGGAGATCAAGTGGAGCCTTCTGCAACATGGTCGAGAGCTACAGCAACAACCTCAGGCAGCAGCTGGAGATGCTGGGCCAGGAGAAGCTGAAGTTGGAGGCAGAGCTGGGCAGCATGCAGGGGCTGGTGGAGGACTTCAAGATTAAGTACAAGGACGAGCTCCACAAACGAACAGGGAAGGAGAATGAGTTTGTTCTCATCAAGAAGGACGTGGATGAAGCGTACATGAACAAGGTGGAGCTGGAGTCCTGCCAGGAAGGGCTGACGGATGAGATGAACTTCCTCATGCAGCTGCACGAAGAGGAGCTCCGTGAGCTGCAGGTCCAGATCTTGGACACGTCCGTGGTACGGTCCATGGACAACAGCCGCTCCCTGGACATGGATGGCACCATTGCCGAGGTCGAGGCCCAGTACGAGGAGATCGCCAACCGCAGCCGGGCCGAGGCTGAGAGCATGTACCAGATCAAGCGTGAGGAGCTGCAGGCCCAGGCTGGGAAGCATGGGGATGATCTTCGTCGGACCAAGACGGAGATCTCAGAGATGAACCGGAACATCAGCCGGGTCCAGGCTGAGATCGAGGGGCTCAAAGGCCAGAGAGCGTCCCTGGAGGCCGCCATCATGGACGCTGAGCAGTGCGGGGCGCTGGCCATCAAGGACACCAACAGCATGCTGGCAGAGCTGGAGGCCGCCCTGCTTCGGGCCAAGCAGGACATGACGCAGCAGCTGCACGAGTACCAGGAGCTGATGAACGTCAAGCTGGGCCTGGACATTGAGATCGCCACCTACCGCAAGCTGCTGGAGGGCGAGGAGAGCCGGCTGGAGTCCGGGATGCAGAACATGAGCATCCACACGAAGACCACCAGTGGCTACTCCGGTGGGCTGACCTCGAGCTACGAGGGCCTCACGAACCCTGGCCTCACCTATGGCCTGAGCTCCCTGCAGTCCAGCCTCAGCCCAGGCGGGGGCTCCAGCTCCTTCTCCCGCACCAGCTCCACCAAGGCAGTGGTGGTGAAGAAGATCGAGACCCGGGACAGGAAGCTGGTGTCCGAGTCTTCGGATGTCCTGCCCAAGTGAATGCCTCTGTAACCCCTCATAGCCTGTCCCTGCCCCTGCCTGCCCAGAGCTGGGCAGGGGTGCCAAGGGAACAGGAGACCGCAGGATTGGCCCAGGCCTCAGCCCACCCTGTGGGAATCAACTACTTAGGAGGGAGTACCCCCTTTGCCCATGACCCCCCAAGGAAAGCCCAAATGGTCTTTTGTAAAATAAAACCTGGCAACTTATGTACACATATACTAGATACGAATTGATGTCTGGATTGCTATAAGAGCTGCAAGACCCTGCAATGAAATGATCTTTAAATTAAAAAACCAAGCCTGAAAAACAACAACAAAAAACATTTTATAAAGCAAGTAGATACTTTTATTTGTTTTAAATTACTCAAGTCCATTTTCTTTGGTAGAACCAAATCAATGAAATAAAATTGACATTTGAGTTTAGATATTAACACAAAAATTTCTATTTGAAAATTTGTAAGTAAAAAACAAATTTGGAGCATGTAATTTTATTTGTAAGGCCTGGGATAGTGATAAGCAATAGTATTTGCAAGGCAATGTGAAATAATTTCATTTGTTTGTCTTACAATGTTTATTGGCAGACCATTTGCAGATCTCCACAAGTGACAAAATATTTACAAACTTCCCATTCTGTGATACTATGTCTTCTCAGTTCACTGGACTATTACATGATACTTGATGCAGGCAAGAGCTAGTGCAAAGAGCCGGATACATATATAAGAGAATGCTCCATCTGAAGACCCATTTGGTTTGCAATCTGCCGAACCAGATAAGTCACAGGTTATGTGATTAGATTAACAAAGATGTGCTTCTATGTGGTCAAAGAGAGAACTGAGTAACAGATTATATCCAATAGATCTGAAAGGAAACAGTTATTGCCACTATATACAATCTATAAGATGGAATCAATTTCATTTAGCGCCGGTAAGTTCCCTTCATGTGGTGCTTGCTTTTCATTTTGGTCAGCTTGGCATCTATGGGTCTTTTCTTGGGACAACAGGCATTCCTGTTTGTGGATGTCCTAAACACATGCTCATTTTATTTGTTGGCTAATCCATCCCTGGCCATGAGGAAGCACAAGGTAGAACAACCAGGCTTCTTATAGGCCCTCAACACAAGTGGAAACCTTGACAGAAAAGATCCATTTTCTTTTTTTTTTTTTTTAACATTTTATTAGGGGCTCATACAACTGTTATCCCAATCCATACACACATCAATTGTGTAAAGTGCATTTGTACATCGTTTCTCAAAATATTTTCTCTCCATTTAAACCCCCGACATTAGGTCCTCATTTTTCCCCTCCCTCCCCGCTCCCCCCTCCCGCATGAGCCCTTGATAGTTTATAAATGGGTATTTTGTCATATCTTGCCCTGTCCGATGTCTCCCTTCATCCACTTTTCGGTTGTCTGTCCCCCAGGGAGGAGGTCACACACAGTTCCATGTAATCGGTTCCCTCTTTCCTACCCATTCTCCCTTTACCCTCCCTGTTTTGCCACTCACACCACTGGTCCTATAGGGCTCATCCGTCCTGGATTCCCTGTATTTTCAGTTCCTATCTGTACCAGTGTACCTCCTCTGGTCTAGCCAGACTTGCAAGATTGAATTCGAGTCATGGTAGTGGGAGCGGGGAGGAAACATTTAGGAACTAGAGGAAAGTTGTATTTTTCATCATTGTTACATCGCACCCTGACTGGCTCATCTCCTCCCCGAGACCCCTCTGCAAGGGGATCTCCAGTGGCCTACTAATGGGCTTTGGATCTCCACTCCGCACTCCCCCCATCATTCACTATGGTAAGATTTTTTGTTCTGATGATGCCTTACGCCTGATCCATGAAAGCTGTGCTGGTGGCCATGAGTGCCTATCCACTTAGGTGCAACTCTCTGCTCACCTAACTCACAAGTGCTCAGAGGTGTGCCATTCAGGAATGGTAATCAGGCAGTACCAGCGTCTGGAAAATGCTTGCAGAAACCACGGGCACTTGGAAGCAAGCTTCAGTTTATTGTGAAACCAGTTTGGGGACCAGTTAAGAGAGTGACAAATCTAAGGCACCAGAATTCAAGCCAGGAGAACTGAGTGTGGGTGCTGTCCATGTTTCTCAACCATCTGTTAAATCCTTGATCAACTCATCGAAAGTCTCTGAGCCTCACAGTGTTCTCCTTCATAAAAAGAGCCTGTAGTACCTCCTAAGTACAGTGAGACAAAATGAGACAAACATTACAACTCTGCCAGTTTGGGAGCCCATATGAGGGAGCTTTTCTTAGCAACTGGAAAAGAATGTGCAACTTTCCAGAACACTTGTAAGAGACAAATCCAAATCCTGAAAGAAGATAATTTAAATAATAATTTTATTTTTTTCCCACCTATAAACATTGTAAGTAAAACAATACTGGAGGAATGTGAAAATGGAGTCCTAGAGGTCATTTGTTCTGTTTGCATTTCTTCCTATCAAATAAATGAGTGGAGAGTGAATGGAAATGCTCTCCACGCGAGGGAGTTAAAAACATCGATTATGAACTTCCACACACTTGAGGAGTGCTACTACCTACTAGCATTTCTCAGATGTGAAGCTGAGAAAGGAATAACACCGACCCAATTGGGCTGATGAGAATAATAAATGAGCTAATGAATGGAAGGGTGCTTGATACAGGGCCAGGCACATTATATTGCACAACAGATGTTAGGTAGCACCTTTTCCCATAACTCATCTGTCGGTTTGTTAGAATATAGTCGCTTGTATATTGCTGCGATGCTGAAAGTTGTACATCAGTATTTCAAATACCAGCTGGGTCACCCAGGGTGAAAAGGGGTCAGTGGAGCCTTCAGACGGAGAGAAACTCGGGGGAAACCATAGTGGTCCACTTCAGAATAAAAAGAATGGCCATTGAAAACCTTATGGAAAGCAGTAGAACATTGTCTGATACAGAGCCAGAAGATGAGGCCTTCAGATGAGAAGGCATTCTCTGTTTGACTAGGGAAGAGCTGCCTTCTGGAATAAAGCTTTCAGAATCTTTATATGCTGATGAGGCACCATTCACAAAGGCAAGAAACAGCTGAAAACATGCATCTATCATCCGAACACCGAACGTAAGAATGAATCTAAGAAAATTGGAACTTGCAAAAAATGGATGGGAATGAATACAGATTGATAGCCTAGACATGAGTGAGTTGATACGGAATGAAACTGGCCATTTAGAATCTGACCACCATAGTGTCTACCCAGTTGTAGTAACAAACTGAAGATGTCGCATCCATCTTAAAAGAAAACATTTCAAGATCTCGCTGGTAGTATAACCCTGCCAGTGATTGGATAATATCCACACACCTACACGAAAAACCAGTTATGACTATTATTCAGATTTATGTACCAACGAATGTTTATGATGAAGAAATTGGAGACATTTACCAACCTCTGCAATCTGAAAACGGAGTTGGACATTGCATAAAAAAGACCAAAGAAGAATGGGTGCGTTTGAATTATGGTACTGCGGAGGAATATTAAAAGTGCCTTGGACTGTCAAAAGAACAAATAAATCGGTTTTGGAAGAAGTGAAACTAGAATGCTCCTTAGAAGCAAGAGTGGAGAGACTTCATCTCATGTACTTTGGACATGTTGTCAGGAAAGACCAGTCACTGGAAGAGGACATCATGCTTAGAGGGGTAGCAACAAAGATTATAATCCTTGACAACATGGATTGGCACAATGGGCTGAAACATAATAATAATTGTGAGGACTGATAAGTGTTTCATTCTGTTGTACTGTATTAGGCTGTGTTGTCTAGAGAAACAAGTCTAGTGACACGCATATATGTATAAGAAAGTGTTTTATATCAAGAAATAATCTTATTTCAAGAAGCGATCCCAGCCCAGTCCAACTCAAGCTCACAAGTTGCATGCAAACCCGGGCCCTCTGTAGCCTCATGTAGCTGCAGGCTGATGACACAGAAAGATGATGCAGAATGCACAAAGGTCACAAACCAGTGAGTGCAAAGTTGCATGAATCCGAGGTCAGTGGAAACATGGCAGGACATGGACAATTCTCAGGCTCAGGTGGCCCACATGGGGCCACCCCTTGAGGCAGGTACAGAGTCCCAGTATAAAGGAAGGCAAAATAGCAGAGAGAGAGGGAGGTTATTCTTATAAGAAGGCCACACCCCAAGGAAGTATCATCAGGTTGTGACCTGATTGGCAGTTGGACTCCACTTTCATAAAAATTCAAGTTGACATAAATCCTCTAACTACTACATGTACACAGGATCCCTAGGAATCAATAGCACCTAGCAACAACTGCATGACTGTAGACTGACATTGATCAAGTATTCAATCAGTTGCTCTGATAATTACCAGTGATTGAAATGCAAAAGTTGTCAACAAAGAGGAAGGATCAGTAGTTGAAATATTCGGCCATGGTGATAGATCTTTGCAAGATTTTGTCATTGCAAATACCTTTTCTCAACAATGGCTATACTAAGGAGCACTGATGGGCTATGAGAGTTGGGCTGCTAAGTGAAAGATCCGCAGTTTGACCCACTGTGTTAGACAGGGTTCTCTAGAGAGATAAAACCAAATTGCTGATAATTTAATATATTTATTGATAAAGATAAGTAGATATATAACAAGGAATGAACTGTTAAATCATATACAGTTAAGTATATAATACAAGAAAGAAACAGTTAAATTATAAAGCACTACAAATGGCTCAATTCAACTCACTGCCGTGAGAGAGATGTGAGAGACTAGCAGTCCTTCCAGTCCAATCTGCTGCCAGATCTTCCTCTATGTATAGAGAGAGCTAGGCTATGTCAGCACAGCAGCCAATCACAAGGCAGGTCACCAACTGCCAGCCAGGTCACCAACTGCCAGTCCCCAGCTCCAGTGATGTCTTAAAGGGAGCTCAACTTACAGTGACACAGTCCGTAGGCTAGGCGTCCCACAGGTAGTGTAGCTTTTAAATTGAGGCACAGGACAAGCAAGGCAGCCACACACTGGTCCGATGATCAAAG